ATGTATAAGAAGGCTGTATTACATATATTTAAAATGAAAAATACTTAAAATTCCAAGTCCATGATATTGTATATTACATTTTTGCCAATCCAAACAGTAACTCCTTTGAAACTTTTTACTATCTACATTTAGAAGAATTGACTCTAAATTATAGGTACAATTAAAAAGTTATGAAACTAATTTTCATACTTTCTTCCATTAAAATATGATCAAATACATCTTGAACTGTGTATCAAATCAGAGAATGAGTCAGTAATTTTTATTTCTGTCTGGAATGTACAGCTGTAGCATTTTGTATCCTGGTACTGAACTGGGCCTTCTCAAAGCCTGGGGACGGAAGTATTGGTGTGGGAGTGCAGAAATATGTATTTGGGGTGCACACGCCTAATTCCTTCTGGTTATACAATTATTTCTATAATTAAAAGTTTGTAAATAATATTTTATCTTATTATTTGATTTTTTTATAAAAATCATTTATTCTATAGAAACCAGTAGCTTTTATTTAGTTGCTTTTTTATATATGGCATAGTATGAGAAGAATTAGCAAAAATGTAACTGAGTACTAGCATTATCCTGGGAATTAGAAGTATAAGAAGCACAAATAATACAATTAAAGTCTTTTGATCTTGAAATAAGCAGTTATTTAATTTCTCTTTTAGTTGAAGTTGGTTTTCTTGATTTTACATAATTTTTACATTAGAGACAATTTGATTTTTTGAAAGTAAAAGGAAACTGCTGGAGTATTTCTAAAGTATTCATAGATTAGCTAAACACATGATTAATACTTTATATTGTAGAATTTTTATTCTCAGATAGCTTAGAATTTCTTGGGAAAAGCAAATTATTTCTGCATAAGTTACATTATTATTTGACTTCTATAAGAAATAAGAATAATTTTATATAACTTTTTTATCAATAAATAATTCATTTCCTTAATGGGTTAGTTTCGGGAAAACATATATTGTGATCTTTTACTGAGATTTATTGTTAGACACACATTCATATATGTTATAATTATTTCTGACACGGGGTTACACAAATGAGTTATTTATGAATAATTTACTATTGTCTTTATAGTATTAAAGCTTTAATTTGTTGATGTTCTGCATTTGGACCAAACAAATGAAAGTTACTAATAAGTGTGTGTATTTGACATCTGTATACTGTACTTTTTAGCATATCTCAAGTGTTTTAGTCTCTGCTTAATAGATCTCATTAAAAAAACAGATATCAGCCCCAAGACAGTTTGTCAAGACTAATATGAGTCCCCCTGGATTGGCCTGACAATATATGTGAGGCTTCATAGGATAGGCTTTTCATAGTCTTATTTGGTGCTTAACAATTGAATGTTAGTGACTGATTTATTTTATAATAACTCAGATGAGTTGAATATTATTGTATTGTGTTCGACATTTTAGTGGATTTTCTTTTTTACAAATTTTACTCAGAGCACACATTGGATGTAAATGATGTATCTAGCCTGCTAGGGGAGTACTAATAATTGATTGGTTAGGTTTGAGAGCAGCCTAGGAAGAATGTTCCTGTCCCCTAGCTGCAAACCGTATTTAACTCCAGTCTTAATGAGGACTTTTCCTAAAGGCTTTGAAAAATCTCAGATGCTTAGCATTCTGCTGGCATGTTTTAATTTTTTTGCAGCTAAAAATGTGCATATAAATAAGTATTTATGTAAAGAGTATTTTTTAATCTTATTATAAGGAAGGAGATTTTTTAAAAAATTAATGGAAGTTTTATGATTTATGTTTTTGAATCTCAAAAACGGCAGTTATAAAAGGTATTCCCAAGGTATTCCATTTTGAGTTATTTGTGGGGTTTTTTTTTTTACCCTCAATAATTTCCTCCTGCTTGCCCTTCCCTCTTCCTTCAAGTCTTTTAGTAAGTGCATTTGTTTCTTATTGTATACTTTGGGTTAGATAGTTGTCATTCACTGGTATCAAAAGGATGTTAAAGCCCTGAACTGACATTGTGCTGAAATGATTTTTCAACTTTTTGGAATTCCCGTGTATCCATAGCAGTTGTTCTTGCCTGTCCCTTTTTAATATATATCTCAAGAAATGCTTGAAGACCACTGAGGTTTTTAGTTTAGTTTTAAAATTTTTATTTAAAGTTTATTTGTGAAAGTAAACGTGTTTATCAACCTCTGGAAGAGATTTTGCCAAGATTTTGATGAATTACTGGTCAACCAGTGTAACAGTGTAAGGGGAGGCCTGCCCCATGGCACTGTGGACTTTTCTGCATGTGTGTCAGTGACATGATGTGAGCCTACAATGTATTTCATGTCAGCCTTTTTACTTAACATTCTGGTGTGGTGTCAAGATGGAAAGCATCTAAATCTCACCAACTTCACCATTTTGAATGTACATAAAGAAGTAATCAGCATTAGGAAGACTCACAAGTCTTTGTTTGATGAACATAAAATAAAATTGCCCTAGTTTTTAGAGCTTTAATATTGAGAAAATTCGTTTGTACTTCGTCATTTGCTGAGCCTTCTAGAATTTTATAGTCTCAAATCACAACACCACGGACACTCAGGAGACTCCTGACTGTTTTATCTTATTAAACAATTTTGAAATCATTAATTTTTAATTAGCTTGGATGCAGGGTTTCTTTTTATCGTTTCAATAGTGTGTGTATATGAACTAAACGTTTTTTATTTAAACTACTGGCGAGAGTATTATTTACATAAATAAGTGTAGATTCTTAGAGTACACACTGTGAGTTTGCTTCATGTAGTCGTACATTTTTGTGGACTCGGAAATATTACACGCTAATCTATTATAGTAGAGCTTTTCAGCAGTTTATTGAGTCAGATTCTGAACAACAACTGAAAAGAATGTAAGCTCACAGATATGTATAGGCCCTTCCCTGATTGAAAGTTCTAATTAAGTGAATTGGAGAAAATTAACTGAAATTAGCTGTCAGAAAGTCACATTTAAATGAGTGATGAGCTAGTCTGGCAGTAAACATTTAAATGATATAAATTGCCATTTAAGTGTATGGTTTAATGTTTGTCATGCATTAATGTGACATGAGACTGCAGTGACAATCAAGCAGCTTGCTCTAATTTGAACATATTTAGGGCTTTTGTGTAGAGTGCACTGCACACAAATTAAGACAATTGCTGTTTTTATGTGTCACTTTAAACATGTCCTCTACTCCCCCACCCCCACCCCCATCACTACCCATGGCCTAAGTTAATGAAACAAACGTATCATTTTTGTATGCAACTTGCATTAATAGTTTCTGGATTTGGGGATCAATTTTAAATCTATGTGCTTAAAATAGGAATTTACTTAAAGCTATTACAAGCCCTTCGCTTGTTATTTCAAATAAAATATGAAGCAGTTTTCTGCTTTCTTAGCTATTTACTAAATATAATTTATAAATATAATGAGTTTTATAAGAGATGTTTAAAATAATAACTTTTCACAATTGAAACTAGCAAAATGCTTTTTTAGGTATACTTTGGAATATGAGATTTGCCTTTTATTTGCAGAATTTTTTTTTACTTTATAGTGTGCGATATGTTGTGAAGCCTTGTTAAATATTACTAAAGGAAATATATTATTTGAATTTATCCATAAATAATTCTCTTATTCATAGGCACTTATTTTAATAAAGCACATATTTATACAAATGTTTATCTGTGAACTAATAGGAATGTCTTTTGTTGCAAGATTATTCATATCTTACTGGTTGCTTGCGATAGAAGTTCGTCAATTTTGTTTTAGAACCGACAGATTTCTTTGTATAATATTGATAACATAGCCACAAGCCACACCAAAAATACATCATAGTTTGACACTTATGACTCTAAAAATAAGAATTTCAGTGAGATACATTACCTGATATAACTTGGTACACTTCCAGTTAAGCTTCAGAGTTTGAGTTTGAAAACTCTATGATTTGAGTAACATTATTTATTGATAGAGTATAATGCTTGGCTTTTATGTTGGACTAATTTTGAACAATGTTAAATAATATAGATATGAGTACTTTTCTAAAAATCAAGTCTCTGGTTATAAAACATCTTTATTATCATTTTTAACTGTGTTAAGTTTAGCAAACATTTATTGATACCTATTGTATTTTAGGTACACTGCTTGTAACAGAATGTAATAATGAATTGGAAGTGGACCTTGAACCCAGCATTTCCACTGAACACTTGATTATGTTCATTTATTATTTATTGGACACTATTATTTTGGTAGAATCAAATACTTGGTCTGATTTGATATTAATATTAATATTAGAATAATAATTCAGTATTTAAAAGTATTCCTCCCAAAAACTCAGTTGAAATAACTAAATAATTTGGTTATAGTTATTGAAGGAGACAACAAAATGTTTTAATTCTAGAAAAATTATAAATATTTCAAGTGAATAGTACGTGTTTAATGTTTTCATATTTGCTATCCCAAAGTAGCCTTTACAGGGTATGACCTCTCTTTGAAACACAAGTTGAGTACCTTTCAGGCCCTGTGTTACAAATGTGACCAAGGAACATAGGCAAATACTGAAATGTAAGCAGTCTATTATAATTCAGTGTGACAAGTGCTGGAAATTCTCTGATTATAAACAAAGGAGAACGAATTCTGGTGGAAAATAGGATATCAGAATAAGTCTGTAAAAGTCACAGTAAATTTAGTATTAAACTTTACGGCTTGTTCTGAATTCCTCTATATATTTTTAAAAATAAATTTCTGCATAATAATATGATCTATGCCCTTTTTTCAGGCCCTGGAGAGTGAATTTGTTTCCTGCCAGCTTCACCAATGGATTGATCTCATTTTTGGCTATAAACAGCAAGGACCAGAGGCTGTTCGAGCCCTCAATGTGTTTTATTACCTGACCTACGAAGGAGCTGTCAATCTGAATGCAATAACTGATCCTGTATTGAGAGAGGTAAGTTACCTGATCAGGTCTAACAAGTATCTTTAGACTGGAAGCTATTAGATATCATCTTCCCCATACTTTCATTTCACTGATGAGGAAACTGAGGCCAGATGAGTGAAGTGACTTAAGCAGGGTCACCTTTAAGATTGTGACTTAGCTGAGACTTGAACCCAGAACTTCCCTCCAACAAAGTGTTTGACTCAATATAAAATGAGAGGTTTTTCAATTTGAACCCATTAAGGGATCAATAATCATATTTACAATACTTATAACTTTGAAGGCTACTCACTAATTTAAAAAATTAGGAAAATAATTCATTAAAAATTAAGGTTATAAGTATAACTGTATTTAAATGTGATAAAACACATATTTATATATAATGCAGAAGTACGTGTATAACCATATAGAAGTTATGAGTAAGAATGAAGCCTGGAACTTCCTACATCATCAGATTTGGTGTTACTGAGACTCATTTTATCTTTTTCATTGATTTTCTTAAGTAAAACACTCAAAAATATGGTTTTGACAAATACATTATTTACCAAAATGTATGTTTATAGCCTTGCTTTTTTTTTAGTATCTTAATTTAATTATGTATCCTCCAACTAACATACATCATATACAGAGATCATAGAATTGAACAGATATCACCTTAAATGTCCGTCCAGTTTTGGAAGAAAACTAAGAAACCAGGGCGCTTTGATTCATAGGGAAAGTTGTATATCACTATCAAGGGAACATTATTTATAGAAGTAAGTTTTTCATTTTTCACCAGCACTTGATGTATTTCTTTATAATTCTACTTATGACCTGATCATGTTGACAGTGTAGGAAAGTACATATTTAAATATATGGACCAGCACATATTATCACCTGGGTCATGTGCTCCATAAAGAAAGTTAGGGCACAAACAAGAGCACCATGCATTAGAAGCACATTTATCTTTAATTGTACAGGTTCTGAATTGCTATTATTCAGTTTATTTTAGAGCTGGATCTGGTAAACCCCAAAAGACTCTTCCAATTTTTCGGTTCTTTGAAAATGTTCCTTCCAGGGGGCATTTTATTTTATTAGAGCAACAACCGACTGCATGAGATGTATGGACATAGGGTTCTGTATGTGAAATTGAGGTTGGAGCAAACATACAAGTGGCGTTACAATGTAGTGCATAATTTCATTGTTAGAATAAAGTCATATAGGCTCATTTACTTTATTTTTTATTGTTTTAACAATATTTGAATAGTGGTACTTTGTCTACTAAATGTCCATAGTTATTCTTCAAATATACCACCTGCTTTGGGGTCTTTTTTTGTCTACTTAGCTGTTATATGACTGAAATCAGTATAGATTTGATTTTGTCATGTCGTGTTTTACTTAACATACCAGCATGAATTATTTTATGTTGCTATAAAATCTGTGTAATTTTAATTTTGAAATTCCACGATATTCTATGGAATTGCTTTGAAAATGTACTTAATACCATTTCTCCCAATGTGGGATCTGACTTTTTTTTTTAAAAGACTTGTCTATTGGTGTGTCCAAGTCGATGCAGCATTTGCAGGATGAAGGATGGCTCTCTGTGTGATGCTGCTAGTTAAAAAGTGAAACATTCAATCAGCAGGTTGTTTCCTCCACAGATCACTGAGTGTAATTGGCTCTTTGTTTTTATTCTGGATTGACTCACCCTGTTTCTCACACACATTAGTGATTTACCAAAGGAGTTGACCATGTACTATTTACAGTATAATCTATAAGAGCACTGTCCAGTAGAACTTTCTGTGCTGATGGAAATGTTCATTATACCTTCACTGCTCAATACGGTAACCACTGGTCACATGTAACTGTTGTGCATTTGAAATGTGGCTTGTGTGACTGAGGAACTGAATGTTTAATTTTAGTTAATTCAGATTTAAATAATCACATATGGCTAGTGGATGCCGTATTGGACAGGGGAAAGCTAGAAGACTGTCATACATCTTTGGTTACCAAATTTTCAAAATCCAAATTCAGGGCATGTGGTCAGACAATGGGGCAATAAATGTTAAATTCACTTGGTAGAATATTTGACTTTGGGCATACTCCATTTAGGTATTAGACATGTAGTTGACATACATGTCTAAACCAAATTATATTTTTTCTTTCACTTAAATTAACATGTTACGAATTCAGATGATGTTTTTATTATGGTAAATCAATATAAAATTTACCATTTTAACCATTTTGAGTGTATAATTCAGTGGTATTAAGTACATTCACATTATTATGCAACCATCACCACCATCCATCTCCAGAATCATCTTCCCAAACTGAAACTCTGTGTTAAATGGTGACTCCTCCTTCCCTTCTGCCCTCAGGCCTTGGCAGCCACCATTCTACTTTCTGTTTCTGGGACTTTGACTATTCTAGGTATCTCAGATCAGTGGAATTATACAATATTTGTCCTTTTGTGTCTGGCTTATTTTATTAAAATTCATCTATATTGTAGATTGGGTCAGAATTCCACCCCCCCCCTTTTTAAGGCTGATTTATATTCCATTGGATGTATACACCACATTGTGTTTATCCACTTATCTGTCAGTGGACATTTGGGGTTGTTTCTACCTTTTAGCTGTTGCGAATAATGCTGCTATGAACATGAGTATATAAATACCGGTTCAGGTCCCTGCTTTCAGCTCTTTGGGGTATGTACTCAGAAGTAGAATTGCTGGGTTATATGGTAATTCTGTGCTTAACTTTCTGAGGACCTGCCATACCAAATACGTTTTCAGTATTTATTTTTCATGATCAGCATTTGCTAAAGACTGTTTAAAACTTTTGCTTTAAGTTTCTTTGACTTCCTTTTCTTCCCCACAACTCCAAGTAGTTAATTATTAACAAATTAAACTTTAACTGCAGAGTTTTCCACTCATCATACCCTAATTTATTTTTATATTATACATTATATAAACATGTATGATATGCTAGATTCAGCATTCACTCCAAAAACACGGCCTTATGTTCTAAGTATAGTAGGTACTCCATGTTCGTGAAACAATATATCACGTCATTAATTAGCATTATTTGTATAAATATACACGGTTAATTCACAGCGCTTTCTGAATGTGATGTAACCTTTTATTACAGCCATGCCATATTATAGTGCCAAATCTTGTGACACCATGCAGTGTGATGTTGTAGAATAAACGAACAAGTATGTAAATGTGGACTTGATTCCTGGCCCCAGTGCCTACTAGTTGTGTGACTGGGATCTTCCGGAGACTCTGTTTCCTTGTGTGTGGAATTGGTACGATAATGCCCACCTTATGGAGAATCAGATGAGGTGTAATACATGAAAAGGCCTGGCATGGTACCTGTCCCATCCTAAGTTCCCAGCCGGTGTTACTTCTTTCCTTTATGTTGTTCAGTGTTAAACCTTTGGTTTGGGTTAGAAAACATAACTGTAAACAAGAATGTAAATTACCAATTGCACCATAGAAAGAATCATAAAATGTTGACACTAGAGAAGTAATTTGAGACTGTTGCTGGAGGACACATGCAGAGTTCATTGTAAAGTGAGGCAAGGAGAAAACAGAAAACAAGAGTAAGTCATTATTATTTTGTTTTTCTCAACAACCTTGTACTAAACCTAACTTATGTAATAAGGTTAAAGAGTTGAAAGGCAAGTCCCTGCCCTTGTCAGCTAGAGTTCATTGTCTAGGAGGGAAATATGGATAAGTAAACAGTTATAATCCTGTGATAATTCACTATAGAGATAAGGACCTGGTATATATGCATAAGTGTAGAGGGTAGACACTAAGCCCAGCCTGCCTGAGACCTGGCGTGTTTTCTGGGAAATGAGAGGCTTGAGCTGTAGATTGAAGGATGAATAAGAACACTGGGTAGAGTCGTGAGCAGAGGACAGCTACTCAGAAGAAATCGCAGAAGCCCCCTGCACAGAGTGAAAGAGATCATGGCTGGAGAATACGTATGTGGCGTGAACCGAAGGTGATAAGGTGAGAGAGACAGACAGGAGCCAGACCATACAGGGCCTTCAAGGCCATAAAAAGTCAGTTTAACTGCATTATAAGATAGTGAATTGAAGGCCGGAGGTCGGTGACATCACCACATATGTGTTTTAGAGCCTGTCTGAAAGACGGCTGAACAAATAAGAGCTGAAAAGTACTCACTGGAGTATTCTAAGAGTCACTGGTGGTGTTAGAGCAGGACACTTAGACGGTGGCGGACTGTGCTGTGATTGCGAGGCAAGCAAGTCAACACAGTGAGGAAAGGAAACAGTTGGAGGGAGAACTTCTAACTGCTTTATTAAGATAAAGTTTGCATAGGATAGAATTCACCCACTCAAAGTGTACACAGTACAGTAGTTTGGGTGTATTTACAAGCGTCACCACAAGCTAATTTTGGAAGATTTATTCACCATGAAAAGAAACCCCATACCCATTACCAGAACTCTAACGGAGAAATTTTTTTTTTAATGGGTAGGTAATTGACCATGTATCTGTGTTAATTGGACAGCTCCAAAGAGAGAGAAGCATGTCAGACATACAGGAAAGAAAGCATGTAATAAACTATCAAGCTCTAGGAGGAAAAGAAAGGGAATGAAGTCCAGAACACATACAGTGATGAGCACAGGACAGTAGGGAACAATACTGCCTTGTCTGTGGTTGGAGGGGAGGAGGTTAGCCTGGGGACTAAGTAAATGAGCAGGGATGAGGTAGAAAGGCAACAAGATCATGAGGGTTTGGACCAAGAGTGGGATAATATTTATGGAAATGCCTAACATAGTGATAGGTGCTTAATAGATGCTCATTAATATATAAATTATTTTTTCCTTTCCATGTTGTTTCTCTGTTCTCAACAGCAGAGAGTAAGTTTAGAAAAAGGGGTGTGTGTGCGTATGTGTGCTGTCTGTCTGTCTGTCTAATTATGTATAGGAAGAGAGAGTTGGCGTTTGGCCATGGGAGAATGGTGGAATCTCTGAAAAGGGGTTGAGAGTGGAAGGGTGGTTGATG